AGAAAACGATAAATTAAGTGTTCAAACAAAACATCATTTTAAAATACACTTGAATATGTGTGCGTTGTAGACACACTTTATTAATTATTAATGTTAGTAATACATTTTTTGTTCCATAACAAACACTAAGGACAATTTTTTTAGCAAATGCACATTTAAAAAGTTGAAAATTTATACACTGAAGGACAATGTTAAGATGAGAATCCTCAATAGTGTATGTGAGTGTCTTCGGTTGAGATTATAAAACAATATTTAGACAACAACCATGGATTGAGAGTTATTTTCAAAAGTTGCAATTGATATATATTGTATAAGATACTAAATTTGAGTATCTTGATAAACAAATTTTATCATAAGATCTTATACTAAGACTTCATGAATATCCACAACGAACATGAGTAAAGATTGAAGCATTTGATCTGCATAAGGTATACGATGCGTGTAATTTCCATCATGATAAACATAATTTATCGTGTAATCAAATATCATCCAATAATTAGAACTCTCATTAATTGGTTGAGAGTCTGTCCATACTCTAGAATCACATGCTGATATAGGTTATATAAGATAATAAATTTGAGTGTCTTGATTGAAAATTATAAATATATTATTGATCCTAAATGGGACGTGACAAACCTTCACGATATGATTTATGGTTAGAGAATCAAAACAACATAAGTAAGTGTGTTAATTATTAAGTATTAAGAATTTTCAATATAGGCATACCATTCACTTATGAAAGTGAGAAAATAAAATACTTATAAAATTCAAATAAATTATACATATATATAAATTATTTAATATAAATAATAAAATATAATTCTCTGGCCAACAGTCCGGGTAAAATACTTGTATTATTAAAGGTGAAAGCCAAAATTCATTGCTCCATTTCAAATTTCTAGCATCGAGAGCTGAAGTAAGAAGGACATTTTTGTCTTCACAACTACTTATTTCTTTCTTATTTATTCATAAAAAATGTATACATATGGGGTTTGAAACATGGCCACTTTTAAGAGAGGAAAGAGCTACAAGTCTACAACAAATCACGTTACGTATATTTGTTGTATCATTTAAAAGAAAAACAAACACAAATCTAAAATCTAAAAAATCAGAAGACATTTTCAGCAGTTAGCTAGCAACTAAATCTCTCATAAGTACTTCTTTGGTGATGATACTTCGACTTTTATATATTTTTATTATTTTAAAACTTAATTTATATTTCAACGTATATTATAAACAGAGGATAACTTTAAAATTGCAATCCATATATCCCTTGGTTGAATATTGCATATAAAATTAGAGTATTAAATAGGTCGAATCAACACATCCCTCTATAATATATAGCAGTACTTCAGGAGATTTTGAGCATTTAAAATTCCTTGCACTCTCCTTAATTGTAGCTAGGGGTAAATTTGTAAGTTCAACTTAGAACTTAAATATCTTCTTACAAGAAAAAAATGTCATTACAAAGACTTGAACTCAAGTCATTCAGATTGATAGTCAATATCCCTAACCAACTAGACTACAACAATGTTTATGTATTTTATGAATTAAAGAGAGAAAATACTGAAATATCTCAAAATCATAGGACTATCCACCGCAACAATCAATCATCGAATTAATTAACAGCTGTAATTATTTACAAAGTGAATCATCATGACATACCTAACTTTATGAATCAAGTAAGTGAGTTCCTCTAATCACACAATTCTTCACCAAGAATCAAATAATACATTTTGAGTTTATGTATGTCTTACACGTTTTACATTTATTAGGTTACATGACTTTGTAGTTTGTAGGAATACAAGGATTGTTTACAAAAGTGCTATACGAAATTTTATTTCAAAACATAAAATTTGACATTTGTGATCTATGATTTTGTAACGAGACATTTTCAATGCTATGAGTGAATGACCAAAAATCATTGGCTAACAATTTCCTTAATGGTTGCAATTATAAGCATAGAATTGAAAGACTAAATACCATTGACAAATGAGCCAATTATCATTGACGAAATTTAACAAACAATGGTATGTGTATATACATTGAAATTTTATGGTACGCTCGATGGATTGAAGCTTATTGCATCTCCTTAGTTAAATAACATTATCTAGACCATAGATTAATCACGTAACTAAACCCTATATCATATTTCTCTAAATCCTAATATAGTGCATATGGTATGTTGTATACATCTTGGCGAATCAAAATCATTAATTATGTTCTTAGTATATATATGATATTAGGGTTTAAGTTCTATAGATTTAAGGTATATGATTTAATTATTTGAAATTTAATCTCCCTTTTCAAATTTCCTGCACTGAGAGGGAAATTAGGAAGGACATTTTTGTCTTCACAATTATCTGTATTTTTTATTTATTTACAGAAAAGATAGACATATTGAGGTTTGCACCATGGTCATTTCAAACAAAGTGAAGGCTTAAAATCAATCCGACTATGTAGATTTGTTGTATTTTTTTAAATTAAAAATATATATGAAGCTAAAATATGAAATCACAGAACCTTTCAACAGTTAGCTAGCCCAATAAATATTTCGTAAGTACTTATTGGTGTTTTGATGCTTTGATTTTGATATTTTTATTTTAATTATAGTTTAATACTTAATTTAAAATTTTATCTATCTTATAAATAGACGATAACCATAAATTTGCAACCAAAATATTGTTGGTTCGAATATTTCATATAGAATTATAGTATTAAATATGTAGAAGCAATATAGAATTTTTTAATTACCATAAATTTTCAGAACTATAGTGAAGCAATCATATCTTTGTGCAAACTATAGGGGACTGGTTCTCTGAACATTTTTGTCCGGTTAAATACTAAGTTTTGAAACTCTTCCTAGGGGTGTACGTGGATCGGTTCATTTGGGTTTAGATATTTTAATCACCTAACTCATATATCACGATTTTGAAAACACTATATTTAGGTTTAAATACAAACTCACCCAAATAATTTAGAATTTTAATGGTTTGTGTCCTCCATACCAAATGAACCAATTTACATGTCGCTTTAACTAAGGACGATCTCATTGTCCAATCCCATCATTCTAATGTCAATCCATAAAAGTAACCCATATTCCCGTTTGTTAACACATGTTTCACATTGTCATTACTGTGACCGGTAACTTCGCTGCAACAGATTCGGTATTGCTCATCATATGGCCTCCAAAGTGATAAACATATCGGGCCAGCAGTTTTATGACAAAACTCAAAGTGAAGATAACTCATCGTCTGGTGGAATTTTGGCGCTTGTTGGTATTCATTAATCTAATTGCAAGCATAATGATTGCTAAAATTAAGCTTTCACGCAACAACTGGGAGTTGGGGGTGTGAACTTGGAGTAAAAGTTGATATTGGGTTTGGGAAGGGAAGTGGTGAGAGGAAGAAATTGTGTTTGGATTTGGTAGCAGGTAAAGTTCATGGTTCAGTTTCTTTTCATAAAATGCTTTGATTTATTTTAGTTAGAGGTATATCATGGTTATGTGGGATCAAATGAACAAAAAATGAGCTTGGGGGTTGGGAATTCCAACTTAGAAGGAGTAGATTAGATTTTGATAAACTCAAGTTCATGATTAACTGAAAGAATATTTAGATTTAGACTTTGTGGTATTGAGATGTTCATAGAGAGTTTAAAACTGATCCAAGGCCATGGGTTGATATTGGTTAGTTGATTGTGATTTTGAGGAAGGTGTATAAAAAGTCATAGAAGTAGTTTGCAGCAAGTGAAGGCAGTGAAGAGGCAGTTGGTCAGGGTAGTGATTGAACCAAGGAGGGTATTGAAAGACATAGAAGCAAAATCGGAACAGTTGAAGAGAGAGAAGTGGTAGATGATCAGGATATTAATGAAAATGGAGAGGGTATTGAAGGGCATGAAAGTGAACTGGATCAGGTGAATGCAGAGAGGGAGGAGAAGAGCATATTGATGGAATTGAAGATGAGTGTTGGTTTTACGAGCTTATTATAACTGCCCCGAGGAAGATGAGTTGGCCAAATACAAGAAAGAGGATTGAGGAGTTGAAGATCAAACTGACAAAAAACTCAATTGAAAGAGAAATTCAGGTTCATTCAGAGAAGGTCCATCAAAGTAGCATAAATGGAGTTGCATAAGGAGGATTAGAAATTGAATTTTGGTTTAAAACATATACGTCGAGAGATTGAAGTGGAGGGGATAAAAAGTTGGTTGTACAACGGAGAGTGGAAACTATTAGATCTTTAGGTGTTATGGTTGTTGAAACTACCACAACCTATGTTTATGTTAAAATGAGAAATCATAGATTGATTTACTAAAGTTAATGTCGATTCACTATTCAAACTACTAGAACCTGTAGATAAGGAGTGTATATTTTGTGCCTCATTACTTTGATCGAGTCTATTAGTATATTGGATGTAACTTTAATTTTGTCATTTGCTCTTAAGTTTTGATGGTCTCCTTTTAGTTGAGTTGTTAGCATATGATTTACTTGAATCAACAACTCTTCATTTCTGTTTTTTTTTATAAATCCATTTCTTTTATATTAGTGGCATGTTATTCATAGAGGAGAGCTTTGAACCATTTATGTGGGATTGTGAGGTTTCATTTCAGTTTCAAACTATCTATGGATCATGTGGGAATTCTAATGAGCTTTTATATTATATATTTCTGGACAATCTATTAACCAATATCATTTTAATGGGGGCTCAATTATCATTTTGAAAATAGAATTAATGATACATTTTTATATTCTTAAATGAGGAGGGTATTTCCCTAAATGTTCGACCTATATATTCATTCTTTATGTAGCATCTTGATTGAATAATTTTCAATAAACTTAAACGAATTAATAGACTTAAACATAACATAAAAATATAAATATCAAAATATGAATATTTCGACTAACAGATCGAGTTATGAACTAGTTGATATTGATAAACATGTATACAATACTATATCACAAATACGGATATACATTCCAACGTTTGGCTTCAATAAGTAAGATGGGAAGAAATTAAATAGTAAGGTGGAGACAAAGCCCTAAATGCCAACTCATCACACAACGACGGAAGCACATTTTGCCGAAAGGGAAAAAAGAACTCGGTGAAAGAAAAGAAAGAAAGAGAGATCATCATCCATCCATCCTTTCATCCCAACTATAATATTTTCCCCTCTCTCTCTATTTTTCTTGGCCGCAAGCAGGAATCCAGACGCAGAGAGCTCGTAATCCCCGATAAACCACCGCCGGCCGAAGCCCGTAAGTAATCGATCGGTCCTTTCACTTTTCTTTTTTGATTAATCGTTCAATCTCCCCACCGGTAGCGTAGCGCGATGGTCAATCGAGCTGATCCACTGCTCTATTGTGTAGTCCTTTTTCCTCGTGTTCTTTTTTTCAAAATATTTCGCCGGGTGAATTACTCGGCGGCAGCTGGAGTTCGATGAGCTGAATATGGCTGATTTCCGTCGAGTTACAGTGCGGAGACGAGCATGTGGTCTTAATTGTGTATTTTTCGATCCTGAATTTTGTGGTTTCCATTTTTGTGTGGTTGGTGCAGAAAACTCGATGGTAGGCTGACTTAGGACTTTAAGAGTTCTAACTAAATCGAATTCCAAAGTCCCTTTCTCCTCACCTTTAATTTGTTGTAAAATGGAGAAAAGGACCATAGACAGACATTCCAACCTTCTATTTGTAGTATGGTCTTTGATAATCTGGATTCAGTGACGAACAGGATTGATCTATGCTGAAAATGTGGTCATTTTCACTTGTTCAGTTACAATTTGAGTGACTTTGAGACTGTTTTTGGATTCTTTTGAAGGTTAGACTACGAGTGTGTTGATGAACTAGCAAGACAGCTGAATTTAGGGATTTGGAAGGATTGTTTTTTTGGCGGAGGAAAATGGCTTGCAGGGGGTTCTGGGAGTGCTTACTGAAGCTGTTCAACTTCTTGTTAGCCGTTGCTGGCCTGGCTATGGCTGGATTTGGAATTTATTTGTTTGTAGAGTATAAACATGCAACAGATGATGATGTGCCGTTGCCCCCTTCTAGTGATTACAGCAGTTTGATACAACTGGGCCGTCCCATGCTTATGGCTGTGTCGCTTTCCGAGAGTATCTACGACAAGTTGCCAAAGCCGTGGTATGTTCATGTTATCTTATGCCTTAAGTTCTTTGTTTGATGGGTTTAGTTTGTTGCTGGTTAGCCCACTCATGAAGATATAATTGATGGAAAGATTTTGTAGTGTGGAACATTGTAGTTTCAGCAAAGAATGAACGTCAAATTGATCTGTGATGATAAATTGCTTTTTTGTTCAATTGAAAAGTTGATGCCTCTTGGGAGGGTGTATTTGATGGCCTTGGTTCTAATTGTCTGGAAATTAGATTAGCTACAAGGAAGGTGGTAGATTTAATAGGACTTCCTGGATTTCCTTTCCTTAACATCTTCTAGGTGTTATTCTGTTTTGGTTGGATAAAAGCTTGAATTAGACTTGCTTCAGTTGTAATTTCAGTACTCATCTTAATGATGTCTATCACTCAAATAATGATTTGTGCTTGAGGGTGGTTTCTATTCTTTGGGAGAATCCAGAATGTTTAGATTAAAGCACTCTCTTGCCCTGACTGTAATTTGCTGTGAAATAGGTTAGCAACACGGATGGGAAATCTTCAACTCTACTTTTAACACATTAAAGGATTGCATATGTGAAAAGACTTTTAGAAGAACTTGTGCAATCTGTTGGTGATTCACGATTTTTCATGCCCCTAATTGCTCCTGTGTCTTCCAAATTCCATTCATTAATCCTTTTCTTTTGCAGGTTCATATACTTATTTATTGGTGTTGGAGTGATCCTCTTCGTTGTCTCTTGCTTTGGTTGTTGTGGAGCTATGACCAGGAATGGTTGCTGCCTAAGTTGTGTATCCTGATTGAAACCCTCCAGAGATGTTATGGTCCAAGTGTTCAGTATTTCTATATTCTACCTCTTGTTCAGGGCTGTCCATTTGGAATATCTCATATATACTCCAGTAGGATAATTGATCTTGATGTTTTCGTGTCCGTTCCTGAAAGTTCAAGGGGGTCGTAAAGTCAGTTTCTTGTGAGTTAAGGTTATAGTTTATGAGCCTTACATTTAAGTCTATCTTCACATTTGTGAACATTGCTTTCCTTAACAAATTTTAGTACTCAGCCTTGATTTTCATACTGATATTGGCGGAGCTGGGATTTGCAGCATTCATATTTTTTGACAAAAGTTGGGAAGAAGTAAGTGATCTGTATGAATGTAATTCGACTGCCATGCTATTGGTTCTGCTATTTAACGTGTTATGTGCATCTTGCCCTTCAGGAGCTTCCAGTTGACAAGACTGGAAATTTTGACATGGTATATGGCTTTCTGAAAGAGAACTGGGAAATCATCAAGTGGGTTGCTCTTGGGATAGTTGTGTTTGAGGTAAACCACATATGCATGTTACAAATTCACAATTTTTTTTTTCACGAAGACGTCCCTTTCATTCATGAAGCTGAAAACCATATTAGGATTAGTGTCTTCAATTATGGGATGACAACTTACTGTTCGGCAATCTAGAATGTTAGTCTTGTCTTTTCCCATTTACACCACTCGTATGTGGCGCGAGTGGGTTCTAGTAATCACACAATAGCTCATATCTCTTTCCAGTGGATGATCTTTACAATGTTATTACTTGTGAATGCAGGCGCTGATTTTCTTGTTGGCCCTGGTGGTTAGAGCAGCCAACAGACCGGTAGAGTACGATAGCGATGATGAACTCATCGCCCCAAGGCAGCAGATCCGACAGCCATTGATGAATAGGCCGCCGCCTCCTGCAACAGGCGTCCCTGTTGCTGGAACCCTCGATCAGCGCCCGAGCCGAAATGATGCGTGGAGCACACGTATGAGAGAAAAGGTATAAACAGAAACAACTCACCCTGGTAATTGTTTCTCAAGTATACTGCTCCCTCATACTCTCTCTTTCCATGTTCTTTGGATGAAAACCAGTATGGACTAGATACTTCCGAGTTCACATACAACCCGTCAGAGTCACATAGGTACCAGCAGGTATCGGCACAGCCCACAGAAGAACGAAGCCGGTGCACGATCATGTAACGAGAACCTTTTGGAGGCTTGTTGTTTTTCCTTCAGGACAGAGAGAGAGAGAGAGAGAGAGAGAGGGAGGGAGGTGTTGTGTGTTCTCTTTGCCCCTTCTGTACTATAGGATCTTGCTAAAGCCGAGGAGAGTAGATAGAATCCATTTTCGACAGTGTCTGTGCTGTGGATAAGATTTAATTCATGTTCGTTATGTCTGTCGTCTGAACCGTGGTCGGTCGCCAGATGACAGACTGGTTCTGTTGGATCTTTGAACGGCCTTTCCTCTGCATTTTTATCTGTTCTGTTCTGTTATCTTTGGCAGTTCTCCACGTACTTTTTTTTCGGTAATCCGACAGTATAAAACCGAATTGGATCAGTATCCCTGATGGGCTGGACATGATGTTGCAGACAGTGGCCCAGCTGCAGTAGCCCCATTCTCTCCCTTGGCTTGGTTCGGTTGAAAATTGAAATCTTTCCTGGCCCAGCTTTGGCTACTAGATTATGATAGCACTACAGGCCACGCGCGAAAACTGTTATCACAACAAAATAATAACTTTTACCCACAAGAGCGCAATGTGGTGGGGAATTGGTTATCTACTTTTCTTATTTGACGATACCATCATAGCTAACTACAACTTGATTATATTCGAAAATAAAATTTTAATAAAAAATTGGTCCGAAGTTCTCAATGACAAAATAGTGACTGAAATGAATAGTGAAAAGCATACCGGTCGTTTGGATACAACATTTTAGTGAGATATTTTGATTCAAATAATTCGTTCTGATTTATTTGACCCAAAATCACTCATTTTGCAAAAATAAAAGTGAATTATTTGAAATATACCACGTCACCCAACTCATATGGTTTCCCATTTGAGTGATGAACTGCCACAATATGGAAATGGTCAATCCAAACGAGGCAATTATAATCCAATTATCACAAACAAATTGAAATGCCACATTTTAAGATAACACAACATTTGAATTCAAAATACCACAGAATCAAAATGCCCCATCCAAATGACCGCTATTGAATTCTCAATATAATACTTTCAGCCTCTCATTATAGAAGTTGTGTAGACTGTAGACGCTCGATGATAAATAAGAAGAACAAATGGACCATAAGAAACAAGAGAGTAAAACCAAGAGGCCATACCCAATGGCAATGGGTGACTTAGAAGGGCAACGAATACACAGTGCTTCGATCCAAGTTGCCAAGTTGTATAGTAGTGATGTTCACCATTATTACCGACTATGTGATGATGAAGTGGTAAGCTTTGGAGGATCCAAATCCAAATATCCCAACGTCAGTGCATGCCGGCTAGCTAAGCAACAGACAAAGAAGGGAAAATCGTCGAGTATTCGAGTCCCATCAATAAACTAAAGATCTTGGGGCAAATTTCAGCCACAAATGCTACCCATGCCTACATATTGCCATACGTGTAGAATTTGTCCATTATCCCCATGAGCTCACACTTGTTCTCATATCCAAGTGAAGCCATAAGTTCAGTTGAGTAGTTCTTCTTTGGTAGTAAGATAGGCCGTCGAAGCGACCTAATTCATATGTTAATAATCGGTTATCTGTGTCTGGGCAATCCCAAAAACATCAAAAGTGATCCAGATCCAGTGGCTAATGCTCACATCAAAGGAATGTGAGCCAAAAGGATACATGTCACATGCAAGCTAAGAAATAAGTAACAACATTGCTCTCCCTACACACATGGTTAATAGTAACATCCCAATCAAGGTTAATGAGTTCCCCTGTTTGATATGCCAACAATCCCATGCCTATGGTTGGTATCTCTATCACCTTCAATAATAGCAATGGATGATCTTAGTTGAAATGTTAGTAGGGGAAAAGAGAGAGAGAGAGAGTTATATGATGCACTCACAAATTTCATGTATAGTTGTAGATTTCAAACTATTACGAAAAAAATGTAACAAGAAATCTATTGATTCGAATTCCAGTAAGATCTCCTTGATTATTAGGAGCGGGTTATTATAGTGGACAAGTTTTAATGGGATTTCATGTTAAATTTGCTCACTAATTACTTACAAAAGGGATCAATACTGCACCCTCGCCAATAAAGTATAGAACTATAAATGAATCAGGTGGTTTAACTCCAATGATATATCGATTATGCCGCTGCAACAAGTAAATAAAGCGTGCACGACATTACAAATCGAGAATGAGATACAAAATCGGTGATTTTATGGAACATGAGAACCCACCAAACACCCACCATGCACCTTGGTGTTGAGTGACATCCACCCATGCACCAAAAACCCATCCAAATCATGGAAGTTGATCAAATGATCATCTCCCGTTGGCTACATTCGAGTTGTGGTTTAGTGGTTGGACCCGCCAATCCTCGTTTCGTCGCTGTTTACTAACCCTTTTATTTTCTATCTAATCTAGGTTTAGGCCTTCCTAATGAAACCGCGTATGACTTTACGAGATTAATCTATCTAGGTTTTATAAGATAGATAGATATTAAGCTACTTTGAACGTAACGTAGAAAATTTGCTTCAAACTTTGAAGTCGGCCGCCACTCGGCCAATATATGAGTTCATACATAAAATAAAAGAATATTCACTTAATTCTTTATATGTTTTCGTTTGAAATATTAAGAAATTGAAAAAGAAAAGAAGCCAAATAATGGTTTGGCCTTCTTCCTTCTCCCATCACGAATGGTGCGCTGACTCAATAATAATGTATATTTTAGTTTGTGGTGGTGGTGGTCCTTTCCTTCCGACCACCGTCTGCAAAATTTCTTTCACTGTCGATTTTCAATTTTTTAAAATTTAATTTCCGTCCAAGTTGCTAACTATATTGTTTAATAATAATAATAATCGTCGAATGGGTCATTTTCCGTTACCTACAAAAACATGCACATAATGTATCCAAGGAGATCAGCCCATATCTTCACAAGGAGTAAATTTAATGCAAATGTCATGGCAGCAGAAGAGAAGATGGATAGATTGGTAATTATGTTGGTGGAGAGAATGTGTAGTTTTACGCTAATAGTATAACTTCAATTTTATCTATTTTTTTTTACATATTTCTTTATCATACAAATTGAATTTATATCTTCAATATTATGGTACAAATTCAACTTGTACCTGTAAGTATTGGTGCTTATGAGCAGTGACGGACCCATAAATTTTTCATAGGGGTGTCCTTTTTTTAAAAATAAATTAAATAAAAATAAAAATAATTAATAAAAATAAAATTGTAAATATGAAAATACATTACTCATACAGGTTAAAAAAGTCCATGATGTGTTTTCATATTCGAAAATAATTGTAGAATACACTTGGTGTCTATAGTGTTAAAAAAATTGTCTCTATATACAAAACTAGACAATCATTCACGAACTTATCGCATATTCGATTTGTAAACTTGTTCTTGATGTAACCCAAAGCTGAAAGACTCTTTCAACACTTGTCGTACAATCATAAAATCAATACAAATTCAGGGTAGTTTGAAATTAGTTTAATTGTTAGGTTTTTAAAATAATTAGTGATAGGGAATGCCATTTTACTATTACACATTGTTCAAAATCGAACAACAAATGAGTTTAGCTCAACGGAAATTAAGTTTATTAATAATAATAGTGTTCTAGATTTGAATTATCCAACCTACCACTTATATTCCTATACACAAATGACAGTAGGATAATCATTTTTTCAAATTTAAGGGGTGTCCCTCACTATCAATTTTTTTTTTGTCCATACGTAAATTACCACCGGGGTTGGATAATCGTTTTCCCAAAATTTAGGGGTGTCCGGGGACACCCCTAAACCCCCTGGGTCCGCCCCTGCTTATGAGCATTGTAAAATTTTTCAATATTGTAAACCACTTGTTAGCTATTTGTTTAAGACGAGTTCATTATAAGTGGTCCGATCTCGAAGCTAGTTCAAGACTATCCAAGTTCGATGTGAGCCTGGTGAGGAGGAAATTATACTTACGGTTTTATCGTTTATGAGAGTCTCCATAGCAAGTAAGACTTGTATATAAGAAACCAAATGTTGTTTTGATCCTCATTTCTCAATAAAAAACAATCGAAACACTCTCTTCTTCTCCCCATCGAAAAGATCAGAAATCTCTCGCATGTGATGAACTAAGAAGGCTTGATTGAGAATATATGGTCATAAAATCCTCCCAATCCATGCTCATAGATATCGCCCATTTGTAAATCGTCTTTCAAGTTCCGCATTCAATTTTCAACTATCAATCGATATTAATCCATATAATTATATCTATGTTTGATAATCTGACAAGACGGTGTTCCAAAAAATTATTACCGATAAATTTAGTTCCTACATTTAGATGATTTTTGAAAGAGTAATAAGTTAAAACTTATTAAAGACTTGTCTTGTGGACAATATATACGGTACAATTTGGGCGGCATTCTCATCTCGTATACAAGAAAAATACATTGATTATACTTCGTATATGATTGTAAGTTGTAACCAAACATTACCTATAAAATTTGTCCTCGATTAATCTAAAATATCTAATCGCATTACTGTAGGACTAGATAAAAGAATGAATAGAAGAGAAATATCTAGATCCGACCTTCATATACCAATCATCCACCATCAAAAGATAAACCTTATAGAGGGAAACTAAACAAGATGATTAGAAGATGATTAACCGTCCTACCAATCATCCACCAGCTGTCCATTGGCAATTTGTTAATCCCAACTAATTCTGGATCCATCACCATTACCCATTTGACCTAAACTCCCATTTTTTAATGTCAACCCATTACCCAAATCCAAACCCTTTCCTCCTTTATTTTCTTTCTCCCTTTTCTTTATTTGCATGCTTCAAATTAGTAGTCTAAATTAAATTAATAAAACCATTTTACTCCAATTTCTTGTGGGCTCCCATGCAAAATCTAGACTTTATATTGGGCCTTGTCAGCTGTAGAGAATTGGGTGGGTCTGTTTAATTTATATATATGTGCTACAGATTCCTGTCAATTTCACTGATGTTGGGTGCTTGTTGGTCTTAATTAATCGAGGGGTTAATTTGATTGATTGATGGATCGTATTACACTTCCAAAGGACAAAAAGAAAAACGTTTTTATTTATCTATTGCTTATATTATATTTATATGGTCCAGTGCAAGCCACTTGGTTATGGTTGGCAGGAAAATGGTCACCTTTGGGAAAATAATGTATGTAGACAAAACAAAATCACAAGCAAAACAATAAGTAAGAATTAATGCAATGAAATAGATATCCGACCTGAAATGAGTTGAATTACCTACCTGCACTGATTAGAAGTTTGGTAATGTATAAATCGTGAGATGAAAAATAAGTATGGGAAGAGAAATATCTTTGCATTACCTAACCTCTAAGACCCAATTCATATAACACCTGATAGATTGAATATTTGCATAAGAACTTGTTCAACTTTGGAGCCACTAATTACAAACTGATAACTTAACATTGATTTTTAACAAATTTGTTAATGAAATTTGAATTACTAATATAATAGTCTCATTCCGTCCATCTCCATCTAAGTATTCTTTTGAAGTATTCAAATTAGCATGTTAATTAACTAAGCTAAATCATTTTGGGTATGTATTGGGTCTTGGAGTTGTGTCAATTAACATGTTTAGTCTGATTAATTGTTCATGTGCCTGATCTCATTTTCAATTTAGCTAAGTCGACACGATAGTATAGAAAAATTTCCGGGGGAAACCCGGGAAATATTTGGATAAATGGGTTATTTTATTAAAGTCTTTAAAATATTTTATTGACAAGGTTGTTAGTGACCAAAAGTTAATACTTAAGTGACTAGTTTGTTAGTGATCAAAGTTTGAGTGATCGTATATGTAATGAGATTCTTGTCATAGGAATTTCAATTTTGATCTTACTCGTTCAGTCCTATATGTTTTAAAGCAAGTATTGTTCGCTCTGTGGATCTTCCTTCGTCCTGACCCAACTTGATCTGCCTCATTGCTTATTCCTTTTATGTAATCTATACATAATTATACTCAAATTTTTTTGTGGTTTCACTTCTATTGTATCATATTTTATGTATAATAAAATTTTAATTAGGCGTTAACCTCCACTTTTGACCAATTTGAGTTCATTTATCATGTTGTAGTTAGGGATGACAATGGTTCGGATTTCTCCCCGTAATCCAACGGGAAGGGGATGGCTACCAATGGGTTCATGGACATAATTTTCAATAATCTCTCCAAACACATCCATATGTTATTGAATTTTTCCTACAAATATAATGTCATAAAGGTCAACAACATCTATATATGATATGTATTATTAGGACTATATTGTCATAAACACTAATAACATCCATAAACTATCCATATTATTAGGGTTAGATGCACAATGATGTCATTTTGCTTTTTATGTACAGAGCAACATGGATCTATCTGCTCCCTCTTGTGTTCAGAAAAAATACATGAGACACTCAAGTATCACATCGGAAATACAAGAGAATTAAGCCTTGTATATAAGTTCCACCTAGCTCATTAATACGATGCATTTGGGAAGGAACCCAAAATTAAATCCGTAAGGGGTTGGCTCAAAGCCGACAACATCGTACTAATGGAGCACTCGGTCTCGTCAAATGGTAATCAGAGCCTGATTCGGGGCGGTTGTCGTTAGGGTATGGTGGACCCCCATTAGGCGACCTCACGATTTGAGAGATGCATTTTTCTGGCGGATCATGGAAGATCTGCTTTGGTAATTTGTCTAGTGGACTAAGTGAAGATCTCTATATGATAAATCCTTATGTCAAAGATCCTGTCGATATAAGGTATCGACGAATCAAGATAATCACGTAGAGGAAGACACGAAATTCGTGGTCCTTGTTTTGAGTGGATGATTGTTATAAGACAGTCAAAGTAACACATTACTCATTAATATGAGGCCTTTTGGGAGAGAACTCAAAAGTAAACCCTTACGCGTTTAACCCAAAATGAACAATATCATACCTATGAAACATCGTCGGATCTCAATTATGAGTTAGATTTCTCTAACCCAAATCCAACGAATACATCCGCTAAAAAAACTCAACAAAATGCCCCCACTAGGTTGTTAGGAGAGAAAACCCCAACTAGAGATGACAACAAAACCCGAACCCACGGGTACCCACCCGACCCAATCCGGTTAACGCGGGTAAAATCCATGTTGACGGGTTTTGGGCCGGGTTTGGGTTTAACCCCGTTCACTATTCATTGGGTTGGATTGAGTTTGGATTTAGGTAAACCCGACCCATGGGTACCCGCCCACACCCATATAATTCATTTTCTCGGTATATTTAATATTCTAAACAACTAGTCTTATTTATGTTTGTGGAGACATGTTTAATTTTTTCTTTTTAATTGTGTAGAATGAAGTTGATGTTATCTAGTGGAGAGTGAAGAAACTTAATTGAAAGGAAGAAGTTTTCAATTAATCATGTTATTTATGGATAAATTGTAATTTGCTTCAATTTTCTTGAGTTTTCTAGATTGATGTTGAACAATTTGTATAGTTAATTTGTGATTTGCTTGAATTTTCTAGAATGGTGTTTTATATATGGATAATTTGTATTGAGAGCTTGATATTTGACTTTAATTTTGATAAAAACTTGTTATTGTAAATTTTTTACGACAAAAATCCGTGGGTACCCATGAACCCGCGGATACCCAGCGGGTTGGGTTGGGTTTGAATTTTTCAAACCCGGTGGGTTTTAACCCGAGTTTTTTTCACAGATAAATCCATGAGTTTGGGTTTGGCAAAACCCGACCCATTGCCATCTCTAACCCCAACCAAGCCTATATCCAATTTCCACATGACAAGTCTAAATAACGAGATACTAGAACCAACCCATTGTTATTCCTACCCTACCAAGGCTATTGAGGTGAGACTTTTTCTAGTGGTGATTAATAGCCACTAATTCTGCTGACCCATTTGCAGAAATTGTAGCAGTCGGTTTCTGTAGGCTTGTAGGATGATGGAATCTTGGAAAGTCTTAACTACTTATAGTTAAGAATTTCAACTTTGCAATTGAGAGTTGTCTTCTCTATTCTATTTCTCTGCGCCCTTTATTTTTCCTCCCTTCCTTTTATGGTCCCTACTTTTGCAGTAAATGATAAGTTGATAACAATCGGCAGGCATTTCTTAGTGTTTACTTCTTATATATAAACCTCACCCTTTCAATGGCCACCACTTAATCACCTTCTTTAAACTAATTATTATAATGGTTGTAACCATCAGCTTAATCTTTTATTTATCAAACGAAAGGAAGCTGTCTCTGGAGGACTACTGTAGATTCGTTAACATGAAAGGGACGTACGTGTTTTAATGATTTCTATTTTATTATCCATGAACATTATTAGTTAGCTTTGTAATGGAACTAGTACTACTCCTCTAATTTTCAATGATATCATATGGTCCTATACCCAATCTTTCGGTCCCTAGAAAATGTTTAAAAGTGAAGCTTAGAACAAAAAGTTTAGGACTCTTGAATAATAAGAAAAGGGTTGGCTAGTTTAGCGTTATTCGTGATAATATGAATAATGTATTTCTTAGTTTTCACTATAACAAATTATGCTTGTTTGTTGGCTCGCTAGAATATCTGGTTATAAGTGTTTAAATTAGTAATTTCGATACTATGTAGGTTCAAACCCAATAAGAAATCCTCAAGTGGTTAATAATTAACGAGGGAATTCCTCCTATTGATATTTAGTAACACGTATATACCTCTAATAGTGACGACAAGATGGAGCAAAATTATAGGACTCGGGACACGTCTTGATGGTTAGACCTTAAATATCCAATCAGTAAGAAACACTTATTGCTGTTTAATCAATTTGGAATGTTATTTTGTAACATTCATGATGTTGTTATTGATTTTCAATCTGACCGTCTCAGATTCAAATCCATTAAATAGCACCTAATAACCAAAAAACTAAAATCTATATCACCCATACAAAAAATCACTCCATAAACGATCTTGTCAATCTCCATAGTTTCTTGTCTACCCCATCTTTTGGAGGTAGTTGTAATTATATAGTTTTGTAATGAAAAATAAGAAAAAGAAGTAAATATAAAAAAAGGGGGGAAAATGAAGACGTGAAGGACCATTTCGTGCTCCTTATTCTTTCCCCCTCGCAAGTTGAGGAGGTTTTCTGTGGATGTCTGTTGAAGTTAAATGCACTCACTCCCATTTTTCCCTCTTTCTTTTCTTCTTTTGGGTCTCTGTCCTTTCTGTTTGGTCATTGCTGTGAATCTTCCTTTTGCAATTTGGCAGCCAGAGAAAACCCTGCTGTACTTCCTTTCTTTCATGTTGTAATAAATTTGGTTCTAACCCCTCTTCTTCATTTATAAAAGCTGACAAAAGCTCCAAGCTTTCAGCTTCTCCATAAATTTTACTGTACTTCAGCTTTTTTCCTCCTATTACTTCCGAACCTTTCCAGTTTCAAGCAATGAGGGCCAAGAGAGGGAATCGTTCTGAGGTGGGTTTTCACTCTCTCTTGCTCTGTGTTCTTGGGATCAATGGGGTTTTCAGCAATTGTGGGTTAATGGGTGATTTTAATTTCCTGCAGGCATTTTGGCCTTCCCTCGTGATGAAGAAATGGCTGAACATTAAGCCCAAGGCTTGTGATTTCAGCGAAGATGAATTCACAGAGAATGAGAGTGAAGACGATGGTACATAGAATTATGCTCCTTTTTACCCTGCCTTCATCTGTTCTTCGATGTTATTGTGCCTTGCATGTGCTTGATTAAATGCTTCTGAGGAACCTTTTTCTTTCTTTTTGACTGGACCACAGCTTGCTCGCTTAAGGATGAAAGTGTTAATGTGAATGAAGATCATGGTCGTAGAACTCAATTGAACCAATATGAGCCCCACCACCAGAGTAAGGTTCCAGGCAATAAAGCCTTTGTCTTTCTGCATCGATTCAGCTGCTCATATTTTGAGTGTTTCTGGGCAGCTTGAATAAAATTTACCTTGTTCTTCTTGTGTTGTAAAATCTGCTTTTACTTTCTGTTATGGTGGTGAATTTCTCTACAAACTGTTATCTACAGTTAGTTTTGGTAGGAGAAACCTTCAAAGAAGTACTGCTCAAATTAGTTTTATGCTTGAGTCTTGGATCCTGTGGGGCATGAGCTTTGAAAAGTAACCTGATGGATGACCTGTAAAACAGAAACAAAGATCAAAAGCTTAGTTGGATCATTTGATTACTGACTTGTAGTACTTTAATTGTTTCATTCTGGTTTCACAGATGAACCTTCCAAGGGCTATTCCCTGAGACACAGACGGGGTAAATCTGAAACTCTGCGTATCCAGTACATAAATACCAAGGATGTGAGGTTGGCTGAAATCCTGCTTGTTTTGTTTTAGACTGAAGTGGAATAATCATTTTAAAAGCTAAACTTGACCTTTTCATCTTCTATTATTTGCAGGGTGACAATAGGCACTTGGAATGTTGCTGGTATATCACCGGACGATGATCTTGATATCGAGAGCTGGCTTTGCACAGAAGAACCAGCAGATGTGTATATTATTGGGTAAGTTATTGGAATAGCGTTGTTACTTTAAGTAGTTGCAACTAGAATTCTTATCTTCATGGATAATTCTGATATATGGGATTATTACTGCGCTCAGCTTAGCAAGTTTAATGCTTTAAACTGTCTATGAATAAAAAACCTCATCTAGCTTGATGCATATGCATTAAAGTCGACAATTTTAACAACGCTTAAAGCAGCTTCCCACATATCTGCTGATCTTTCTGTTCTTAACAGTTTCCAAGAGGTAGTCCCTTTGAATGCTGGGAATGTATTTGGGGCAGAAAACAACAGACCAATTCGGAAGTGGGAGTCAATCGTTCGAAGAACCTTGAACAAATCTTGGCAGCCTAAGAGCAAACACAAATGTTACAGTGCCCCACCTTCTCCAGTATTGAGGACTTGCTCTGTTGCTGATTTACTTTCAGGTGAGGTTGATGCTTTACCACTAGACCTCACAAATGAAGAATACCTAGAACCTACAGCTGATTGTCAATTTGAAAGAAATGAGCCAAAGAAAGCTGAAGTTGCCACGGGCAAAAATTTGAACCTGAGGGGTATCTTTGGGATAGATACCGGCAATAGACTGGACTGGCCCGAGCATTCATTAGATGCAGCTCCACAAATCATCTCATCAAATCCCAAGCTGAGAAGGGTACTCAGTAGCTCAGCTAGAATAAGCTCTACTTGGGAAGAAGACAGCCTAGGTAGTCCTCGGAGTTTCATAGTGAACAAAAGTGGGTTGAAGAGAACCCATCATAGTTCTGGGGACCTTGGATCACTATTGTGGGAGTTAGAGCAGCCAAAAGAGGTGATGATGACTGAGCTTCCTGAAGTTGTTGATACAGCAGAAAGTGTGTCTGATGGATTATCTGATGGAGATGAAGACGACTTGTTTGCAGCAGAAGTACCAAGCTATGACCAACGTTGCGGTGTTGTCATAGGAAAGAAACATCCCAAGTATGTGCGCATCGTGAGCAAGCAAATGGTGGGGATATATGTGTCAGTTTGGGTGCGGAAGAGGCTGAGGAGACATGTCAACAACTTGAAGGTCTCTCCCGTTGGAGTTGGTCTCATGGGATACATGGGGAACAAGGTAAGTGCCAGATAAGTTCATACAAAAGTAGACGTTGACTTTTGCATGATATATCTCCAATTGGTTCAATTGTTTGGCACTTGGTACCTCTAGCTGATCAAACAGCCAACTTCTCTACCAAAATCATCCATCCAACTTCTATTCTAAAAAATACAATTTTTTCTCTTCATAAATGCTGGCAAGATTTGGCTGTTAATGCAATTGAATCATCAGGATGTCTCTTACTGGAAGGCTGTCAATGCAGGGATCTGTTTCTGTTAGCATGTCCCTATACCAGTCGAGGATGTGCTTTGTTTGTTCTCATCTGACGTCTGGTCAGAAAGACGGAGCTGAACAAAGGCGGAATGCTGATGTCTATGAGATCATAAGGCGCACTCGTTTCTCCTCATCTGTCCTCGATGCAGATCAGCCACAGACCATCCCTGCTCATGAGTAAGTTACCACTAAGTTTCAATCTCTAAACGAGAATTCATGTTAATGTTTCATGATAGATGTTATTCTTACACTTATCACATTCTATTGAATCTTTGTACTCGCAGTCAAGTATTCTGGTTTGGTGACTTGAACTATCGGCTCAACAAGTTGGACTCAGAAGTAAGGAAGCTTGTTGCCTTGAAGCAGTGGGATGAACTTAAGAACAGCGATCAAGTAAGATTTTATTTCAGAAAGTCTGTTTCCCCCCTCAGTTTTAGCCATTAAACTTCTAGCTTAAACTATCTAAACCACAGGGTAACAGAGAGCCTCTACTCCATTAAGCACAATAATTTGCTTGGCTCACAAGTTTCCTCATTGTCCTTTTAACATGGTTCAAATGAAGAAAAAATAACATTATGAAATCTTATTCATATTGGTTGGGCAGCTAATCAGAGAACTCCGTAGTGGGCACGTATTCGATGGATGGCGAGAAGGAACAATAAACTTCCCCCCTACTTACAAGTACGAGATTAACTCTGACAGATATGTTGGAGAGCATCCAAAAGAAGGAGAAAAGAGGAGATCTCCAGCATGGTATGAGTCATTTACTTTACAAGACTACAACCTTAAGATAAGGCAGAGGGAGTTAAGAATTCATTGTAGATCTAAATTAAAAGTAGAAGGAGATAGAGTGAAAAAGGGTAATATGGAAAGTTCTTTTTTTTTTTTTTTTGCTCTGCTGGACAGAATGCTGAAGATAGAGAATTAGATGCTTTGCACTTTCTAAGTGCAGGCTTTTTGATGAGTTCCCTTCATGTTAGTGCAGGTGTGACAGAATACTTTGGCTAGGAAAAGGCATAAAGCAACTCTTCTACAGACGAGCAGATCTCCGATTATCAGATCATCGACCAGTGAGTTCGATGTTTGTGGTAGAAGTCGAAGTCTTTGATCACCGAAAGCTGAAGAAGGCGCTGAATGTGAATAGTGCAGCAGTTCATCCCGACATTTTCCTCTTTGACGATGAAAACTAGCAAATGTTACACAAGGTAAACTCCAATCTTCACTCTTTTGCTATAATAAGCTTACAAAGTTGTAGTGAAGTTCACAACTTCCCCCTAAACCCAGAAAAGATTTTCAATCAATTTCCCACTCTTGAAGTTGAAGTTTCTTGTAGTTCAAGTTTTGTTCTGATGGCCAGCTCACAGAATCCGTCCTTTTCTCCCCATTCAGGAGATTGCAGATCACGGTGGAGAATGACCAGATAAACCAGAAATGAGTTAAGTATGATAATGAAGAAGAAGAAATCCAAACGGTGAAAAATACAAATAACTGCCAGAAGGCAGCTTGCTTGCAAATTTTTGGCAGGAGTAGAGCAGCAACAGCAGAAAAAGAATAGCAGTGTTTTTTTATTGATTAGTTTTGTGTGTTCTTTTGGGGGTGGGTGGTAAGTGTACAGATAAGGAGAATAGTTCTCTTCCACTTTATAAATAGCCTTTTCTCTTTTCCTTTTCATACAAAGCTTCACTTTTTGTGTGTAAAATAGAGGTGTTTGTTGGCTTGGGTTGCTTCTTTCTGTGCCTTCTGCGTTATGGCATTGTGAATTAGTTTTGTTTATCACTTTTATTATACCAACATTGAGATGTAACTTATGAACTCTGCAACTAATACAAAATATTTCACAAGTATATCTCCAAATTTTAGCTTGCTTGTCTCTCAAACTCATGGGTACCCGACAAATGAAAACTCGCTCTATCGAATACAACAATACACACTCGGTCGAATAAATTGAATTTTCTTAATGCGAATATATATTACCAAAGATCTTTTAAATGTTAATGCTTTTGAAATATGAGAGTAGCCAAAGTTTATTGTTCTTAATTAATGTCCAAGTTTTAAGTGGAAATAATTTAAATCTTAAGTCGAAGAGAAAAATTGACACCTAAACTGTTAACCTGATTCGGTCGCTAAATGTGTCCTTGATAGAACAATCTATTCCAAACGAATTCATATCAACAATTATAAACTAACTCGTTAAATTTGTCCTTAACAGAGAACTCTCTCCCAAACCCCTGATTTCATTATCTAAGCTGCTATACACCTCAGCTTGTATCACGATTGTTTACTATTGAAAAATCTATCTTCTTTTAGTGGAACAAAAATGAAGGAATCCCAACAGTTAGATATTACACCACACCATGAGTAAACTACAAGCAAAAGTAATCTTCCACTGCCAGTAAACAGCACAATACACCCGCCGCACGTATATAAATAGTAGATATCACACATTCACACTCGATCTTGAGTAATGAAAATATTTGGTAGAGGCAGTTCTGCCAAACCCTTGACCCCAAATACAAGAAAACTGCGCACATGGAATGTTCCCATTTGGCTCCCCAAGGGACCAAAGAAAGTTTGGTTTGACAAAAACGATCGAGAGAAACAACAGCCAGAGTACAAGCATAACATTCTTTACGTACCAAACAACCCCTTTTTGTCCCCTTTTAGAAACAGGATAAATTTGATCAAGTTTCGAGCTTTTGGCCATGATGAGCAGAAACCCAGTTGCTAATATGTCCTTGCTTCATTCTTCTTCTTCTTCTTCTCCACTTCTCCTCCATGGATTTCAAGTTTTTAGGCTTTGTTGCACTTCTCCTTCTTCTTCTGCTGTTGGGTTCCAGTTGTTGCGGGGGACAAAATCTGGTTCCTGGTTACTACAAAGAGACATGTCCGGCGGCAGAAGCCATTGTTAGGTACAACGTTGAGGCTGCTGTGGTGAAGCGACCCCGGCTCGCCGCATCCCTCATTCGCCTCCATTTCCACGATTGCTTCGTCATGGTAAAAAAAACAAAAGAAAAAATTGCAGTAATTATTGGTTTCTTAATTTACTAACAGTAATTATTGGCTTGTAATTTCTGACCATGGTTTTGGTTCTGAGAACAGGGTTGTGATGGATCTTTGCTTTTGGATAGAAAAGGGCAGATGCAGAGTGAAAAGGATGCGTTCCCAAACGCCAACTCGTTGCATGGATTTGAGGTGGTTGATAAGATCAAGAGTGATGTGGAACAAGCTTGCCCTTCTACTGTCTCTTGTGCTGATATTTTGGCCATTGCTGCTCGTGATGCCGTCGTTTTGGTAACTTTTTTCTCTCTAGTCTAACATCTAATATATGCATCCCAATAAATCGAATAGTCGTAAAGATCGTGCAATAACATATATACCATATATCATTCTCTTACAACTTGTAAATCCATCCATATAATTACCCTGAAATCATTTTCATGTTTTAGGTAGGTTATAATTGAAATGGATTCTGGGAAGATATTTAGTGAATTAACGAAGATGGTTAATTGAAATGGGAAATAACATGGAAGATGTGTATCAAATCAAATGCATGACCATTATGTGCAAATTCTTGCATAATCACTGTTTATCAGGATGATACGATTCTTATCTCTATGTTAAGATGCACCATATATATCATTACGGTAAGAGTTACACCTCCTATGATAAATCATGATTATGGACATTAGAGTTATGCATGAAAACTCTAACCATATGCAAGGCATTTAATAATTAGTAGATATGATTATGTAGTCATATCGTTTGATTGGACCATTTTCAAGTAAAGATGATAACAGGACTCACGTCACTACTTACATCCTACATTTGTTAATTTATTCATTATTGAGTGGGTAGAGTATAGAAGTTAAATTTGGACCACCTTGTATGTAGTTAAATTGGAAAATGATAACTTAAAATAATTAAGCATACTAACCCCATATGCACAACAATTAAACAACTCTTAATTTTTTATTTTATGGCGTTCTTATCTTTTAAGTTAACTTACCAATTATATTATGTGACCCTATTTTGTTGTTTCTTTTCTTCTGTGGAAAGAGAGGAGGACCAAGATGGGAAGTTTTGGTAGGGAGAAAGGATTCACTGAATGCAAGCATTGATGCAGCCAATGACTTGTTGCCTTCCCCAAATTCCACCCTAAAGGAACTCACAGACAACTTCAAACAACAGGGCCTTGACATCAAAGATCTGGTGGCTTTATCAGGTAACACCTACAGAATTCTGTGACCAAATTGGAAAATGCAACAATTATCCAATTCGTCCCGATTCATTACTCTATATAGATTTGTCAGTTTCGATTTGTGAGTCAATTTGAGTTATGATCTATTAGTAGTTAATTATTTATCAAATTTACAACGATTTTACCATACAAGATTCATAACTCGTAAGAATTTTAGTAAAAAAAAAAACTATCATCTGGTATGATCCAATGTTTTAGAAATCCTATTGTACCGGCTGGTGCAATAAGAAATGTCGAATATCGAACTTCAAATGATATTATTATAAAATACTCTATCACTAACTTTACCGGTATAACTTCTTGTACGATTTCACAATCATTGATTTGATGTAGCCAACCCAACTTTTATGACACCTATTGATGGTATTTGGTAACTAATGATATGTTCCTCAGGCGCCCACACCCTGGGGAAGGCAAGATGCTCGAGCTTCAATGGAAGACTCGACGACCTCCTCAAGGCCCAAACCAACGACAAGTACCAAAGACACACAACCTTTCTCCAAACCCTAAGCTCCATATGCCCAAAGAACGACCAAGAACTGGCGCCGTTGGATCTTCAGACGCCGGCCAGATTCGACAACCAATACTACCTCAACATCCTCGAGGGCAGAGGCCTGTTGGGCTCTGATGATGTTCTTGTCTCTGAGAAGGATGGCGTGGTTATGGGCCTAGTATGGGCTTATGCCTTGGACGAGGAGCTCTTCTTTCGAGAGTTCGCAAAGTCCATGATCAAGATGGGGAACAACATCAATGTGCTCACGGGAAGCCAAGGGGAAGTTAGGAAGGATTGTAGGTTTGTTAACGTCTCCTAGCTCTCTCTAGCTAGGAGAAAAAATGGGTTGCAAGAAATGAACAAAGAAAAACACTAACACATTGATAAATGAGTTGGGTTTGGGTCGGTTCATAATGGGTCTTAGGTGTCGTTTGGTTTTGGTGATTGTTTAATTGGGATAGTTGCAAACTTGCAATGCATGTATTGTCCACAATACATTGTTTTTTTTTTTTAAATTTTCTGCACAAACAATACATGCATTGTTTGTTTGATGTGATGGAAACTATCTCTCAAAATGAGTGATAATACTATCTCTACTAAAACATGAGATTGTTGAGATTGTTTTGTTCCAAGTATACCCCTAGTTATATATATATATATGGTCGTAAAAGCAAAAGTGATATTTCTCACAAAAGGTAATATAACATGTTGAATACTAAAAGAACTATCACCAAAACCAAACAATGTAAATTACATTACATCATTTTCCTAAATTGCATGTATATTACAATGCATGCATTGACCATAATGCATTGATTTAAGTATCTGCCAATAATAGATGATCTAGGCATAGTGTCTAATGATTCCATGTTTAATAGGTTGAGTATGGGTTGAGGCCACATACTTACATGAGAAATATTATAATCTCTAATCAAGTCAAGCAATTTCAGGAGGGAGGATCTCCCTTGATCCGCCAAACAGATGAAGATCTCAAATTCCGAAGTTATCGAATGAGGATCCCACCAAACTGACGTCTACCGTCCTGAACCAGAACCATGCTCGGATGCCACTTGTCAAAACCGGGTTGCTCCATTAGTATGATATTGTCCGCTTTGGGCCGAACTCGCACGGTTTTACTCTGGTTGTCCTTCCCAAAAAGGCATTATACTAATTAGGCTAGGTGGACACTAATATACAAAGGTTCCTTCCCTTATATTTTCGATGTGGTATTTGGATTGTCCCATAACATAGTAACTAACCACTTATAGGAGCAACCCTTCCCCCTCTGTCTCTCTAATTTGGGTTCCATCAGAAAATTACATTTTGATACCTAAACTTAGCAGATATTAAGATTTAGTACCTAATTTTTTTTTTGTTTATAAGTCCTAAAAGCATTTATGGAAAAATACATTTTAGTACTTGAAAATTTTATGTCTTACATTTTGATCAATGTTGTTAAAACCAAACCAAGGTATGAGCGGATATAATAATTGATTCGTACTTTATTGATCTAACGAGTATTTAGCCATTATAAAATAGTTAGTAAAGCGGTACCTAATAAACAAAAATATTATGCTACTTATATTAAAAATACTACTTATATTAAAAACTGGACAATGCAGCTGTTCTTGAAGATATCATTGGTGACGCACTCATAATGGGTTCATTGACAGGCTATATGTAACATCAATATTGTTCGCCTTGGGTCTAGTCTCACACGATTTTAGATTTGGGGTGCATATCTATGTGACTTCTTATAAGGCCGCCTATCCTTGCAGTGTTGCATAGTGAGCACGTTTAACTCTAGCGTTCTTACAAGAACTCTTTCATTTCATCCCAAAACGCTTCTTGTCAGTTAAGATTGTTTTATTATTTATGAATCATGGATTCTCCCGTGCTTTGTCGATGTGAGATTCTTCTAAGATGTTACTACATACAGTCCCTGGGACTCAACGTCCTCGTTGAAGTTTGATTTGTCCCACCATCGCTCAAGAGTGACGTGGAGAAGTTCTGATACCACTTGTAACACCCCCAACATTTTCTGATCAAGATACTGTCCGCTTTAGTTCTGGACCCTCACGGTTTTAGACTTGAGGTGCATATCAAGGCAACTTCCCATAAACACGTTTAACTTCAAAATTCTTATAAGAATTCTTTCATCTCACCCAAAATGCGTCTTGTCAGTTAAGGTCGGCTACTTAGTTACTTATTAACCATGGATCTCTCTTATACTTTATTCGGTCATGAAGTGTTACATTAATTAGCATTAATGTGATACAGATGTTGACAGATGTTCGGGCTAATTAGCATTAATGTGATACAGTAATTAATAATAAAGTTTCAAAAAAAATAAAACAATTAAATCCCACCAATGAACTAGCCACACGTGGATGGGTTTGCAGGAGGAGCCTCCATACTGGTTTGGATCGTGACGTCCTTATAGTTATTGTCCTGTCGTTGTGGTTGTGGACGAGTGGTAGTTTTCCGTCCACGGCGCCGACAGCCCGGCCGACACCATTAATTAATGATGGTCCTTAATTATTTTCGAGCAACGAAATTAAAGCGCGTCAGTTTTCAGGTTCTGCCCCACTGAAATTTTCTGGAAAAGTCTTCAGCGGTTGCCCTTGTGTTGTGATCATATAAAGTATAAACCACACACTAATTAAATCCGTACCTGTATATTGTTATATAAGGTTAATAGCCCCCATCTTTAGAAGAAGAAGTAGAAAAAGTGTCTTCTCTTTGAAATGGCGTTAAAGGAGGCTGGCGGTTCTCTTCCTGTTCCCAACGTTCAACAGCTAGCTTCGAGCTCCAACGATGTACCCATTAGGTACATACGCCCTGAACTCGAGCTCGAACGAGTTTCTAGTGATGATGAGTATGTTCAAGTTCCAGTGATCGATATGAGCAAGCTGGATGATGGTGACGACGATGATGATGTCGAGTTGGCTAAACTGCATTCGGCTTGTAGGGATTGGGGATTCTTCCAGGTATATGACTCGTCAAAATTGTTGATATTTTTCTTTTACCAACTCGGTTTTGGGATGAGAGCTTTCAATTAAAAGAGGGAATATGATGTACGTGTGTACTACTTGACTGATATCATGTAAAAAAAAAAAAAAAAAAGGTGATCAACCATGGGATTGCGGAGGAGGTGATTCTAAAAATGAAGGCAGACATTGAAGAATTCTTCAACCAACCAATGCAAGTGAAAATGGAATCTGCACAGCTACCAAATGGCTTTGAAGGATACGGCCAAGTGTTTGTCGTATCGAAAGAGCAAAAGCTTGATTGGGGTGACATGTTGTTCATCATTACACAACCTATTCATGGAAGAAGCATGGAGTTGTGGCCGAGAATTCCCTCTTCGTTCAGGTTTGTTTCCTTTCCGTCACTTTTTTTTTTTATAAGAGTGATCGATATAGGGGTTTTTAATTTGTATTTTTCTTTTATAAGAGTGATCGATAGAAGCATGAAATTCGAACTTCTGACCTCCAGATTCTAAACTAATGGTATATTATCACTTAGCCAAATGCATATACAAATTAGCATATCTTTCAAAGTTGACAAAAGTCTGTCTGGTTTGTTCTTGGTCAGAATCCAACATAATTGTTAATTTTTGCCAACTACCTTTGCTAAATCATATTGTAAAGACTGGATGATATACTAATCTTGTCATGATTCTTAACAGTTTTTGCACCATTAAAATCTTGGAGTAAGAACATCCATTCTCATATATATAGCTTCATAAACATGCATGGTTTGATCAACCCCCACGTCACCCGCTAATCAAACGTTCTGGTTAATTTGTCCCTTTTTGCACCAGGGAAACTCTCGAGCAGTATTCGATAGAGCTAGAAAAGCTAGCTAGATGCTTGTTGAGTTTCATGGCCAGGAACTTGGGGCTCGAGTCTGAAAAGCTACTCACTTTGTTCAACGAAGGATTGCAAAGTATGAGAATGAACTACTATCCGCCATGTGAGCAAGCTAACAAGGTCATCGGTCTTGCCCCACACTCCGATGGTAGTGGATTGACTTTGCTGACTCAGGTGAATGAAGTACAAGGTTTGCAAATCAGGAAAGATGGGAAATGGGTTCCCATTCATCCCATTCCGGGTGCCTTCATCGTTAATATCGGCGATGTGCTTGAGGTAATTAAGAATAGCAAAACTCAAATGGATTATTGCGACAATTAATGAAACACTCTTTGAACATATATCAAAACCAATACATCATTGTGAGTAATAACATCGCAAATGCATGGACCATGTACAGATCATGAGCAATGGAGAATACAAGAGCATAGAGCATAGAGCAGTAGTCAATCATGAAAAGGAAAGACTATCAATTGCAGCATTCCATAGTCCAAACGCCAAAGTCGTGATTGGACCATTACCAGAGATTCTCGTCAAGGATCAAAAGAAACAAGCACCGAGTTATAAATCCATATCGCAACAAGATTATATAAAGCTTGCAGGAAAAATTAAACTCGACGGGAAAGACAAAGGCTTCATTCATCATATGAAGATACAAACGGAAGAAGAGCAGTGAATTCAAACCCCTCCATGGTAAAAAAAAAAAAAGTAGCCAAAAAGTTCAAAGCTCCACGAATCATGCTAGTTGAATGTTGTAGTCTTGTATGCGAATTACCATTTGCGAATGAGACATTGAAACTCTGTATTCAGTGGCAAAGTCAGAATTTGAAGTTCGGGGTTTTAATACAAGTAATAATATACAGAAAATATTAATAATTATCTTTTTTTTACAGCATAGATCATTAAACTCATTTAAAATACCATTAATCTAACATTTATGTTGCATTTTCAGTTGGAAATTGGGACTTTGAAAGGTAGCTGAAACAAAGCTTGTACATGGAGGACTTGGAAAATACTAGATAGGCTATATAATTTATAAATATCAATAGTTTTATAATAATTAATTACTAAACCATAAGTCACAAGTTTTTTCAGTTTGCATTACGATCCAGACGATTCTTCGTCACAAACTATTTGGGCCCAGATGAGTACATGGTTTGAGCCACTTGTGACAAAAACGATTCATTGGAATAATACCAATCCAAACACCTGTAGTACTAGTACAACTAGTATTAATTGCGACCAAGGTTGTTAACCCGCGAGTCGATCTATTGGTCGATCCACTTTGATCCTGACCCGATGAGAAAAACGGTTCGCAAGCATCGGTCGGGTCGATCGCTACAAGGTTCCGGGTTGGAGGTCAAATTGTATCTTTTTTTTTCTTTGGTTTGCGAAATGCGCCTATTTTTCGATTTTTCTTCTCGCCTAACTCCATCTTTGGAATCCTAAGTTGAACATTTGAATATATATGTTATATAAATATGTGTGAATATTCACTATATGTTGGATCTAAGTACGACATGTTATTTTGGTGGAATATTATATGTTATAACTCATATGTTAAATGAGATTTGATATAATTTATCAGGATAAGTACAACATAATGACTATTTCCATATTTTCGGGCTAAACCGGTTGACCCATTAACCCTAGACCCACTAGCTCCACCGGGTCCGGGTCAACCCACGAGTTCACAACCTTGATTGCGAAAAAAATTGCTCATCAGTCGACTAATTTTGTGTCTATGACCATGACTATGACTCATTTAAAGAGAGAGAAATTCGACTTGCAGTCGAACTACAGTTGTCATCGTTTTGACGAGCCATCTGGCTGTTTCCTATGTCAAGAACCAGCTGGTCCCAATAACTCAAGTTGTTGGGAGAGGTTCAATCGTGGATCATATACCACAACACTAGCACGCCCCCTCAAACGAAAGCCACTCACAAGGGCTTGAAGTTTGCACAGATATCAGGCACCATGTGCTAAAAAATGGGGGTTACTGGGATTCAAACACTAGACCTTTCGGTTACAGAAGGCTCTGATACCATGTCAAGAACCAGTTGGTCCCAATAACTCGAGTTGTTGGGAGAGGTTCAGTCGTGGATCATATACCACAACACTAACATCCTATAGCGCTTCAACTGAGAATTATTGATATACTCTATTTTTTTGGTTGTGGCAAAACCATAAATTTGAATGGTAGGGGCTAAAAAAATTTCACAATGAAGGAATTTAAACGATAATCACTTGAAAGGAGTTTAGAGACTTTATAGCCCTCCTATGAATCACCCATGTAATGTAACTCTGACCTGTAGATTAGTCATATCCTTGGTTGACTTTCGCTGCACCATGTATGCCACATTACCTGACTGACATATGCTTACATGGTGGAATATCACTATCAAAGAACAATTAAGTTCCTACTTCTTACAAGCTAGCTCGTTAGTTTTCCCCCTTTAATTTAGGGAAGTTGACATTAAGGGTTGTTTCCTCCATTTAAGACATTAATTAAGGTAAGGTCAACTAATTTTGGTGTTTGTGACACTGATCTTTGATCACCTAAGAAACCCTCAGGACCTGTATAAATACAATGCCCGTCATGTTTAGCTTGTCACAACTACAGCCATAAACTGTTGATAGTAATCTCTATTATCTTCCAAAGCAAAGAGAGTTTCTGAGAAATGGTGGGAAAGGAGATTGGAGGTTCTCTTGCTGTTGCCAACGTTCAACAACTGGCTACGAGCTTGGAGGAGGTACCTACTAGGTACATACGTCCCGAGCTCGATCGAGTTTCCAGCGATGACCACTGTGTTTCAATCCCAGTGATTGATATGAGTAAGTTAGTGTCTGACAGTCATGCTGATGGTGACGAATTGGCTAAGCTCCATTCAGCTTGTAGAGATTGGGGTTTCTTTCAGGTATGACTTGTCGAAAAAGTTACAATTTTGTTTATCAAACTCGGTATTTGAATGAGGGAGTTTAATAGTAACTAGATGCGTATTATATATCCACTATTGTTGCCTAGCAAAACCGTAGTGTGATGGTTGATGTTATTTCCATGAATTGTGATTTTAACAATCTGTCATCCAAATTGCTCCCGAATTTACTTAATGCGAAAATTGACATCTTGTAAAAAAAAAATAGGTGATCAATCATGGGGTTGCAAATACGATGATGATGAAAATGAATGCTGATATTCAAGAGTTCTTCAACCAATCATTACACGAGAAAATGGAATGTGCACAACTGCCCAATACCATCGAAGGATATGGTCAAGCGTTTGTTGTATCGGAAGAGCAAAAGCTTGATTGGGGAGACATGCTCTTTATCATTGCACGACCTCTGGATGGAAGAAACATGAATATTTGGCCAAAAGTTCCCTCTTCCTTTAGGTTAGCTCTCTCTCACATCGCTTACCCATATGCATATACATATGTTCACAACTTAATTCTGATTAGACTTTGCTAAATTTATCAGGGTACGAACCAAAATACATTCTTGGTTTTACATCCAACGAACAACATGACTATAAATTTCAACTCGTAATTATCGTCTAATTCATTGTAGAAACAAAGCATATGTTATACTCTTTTTGTGATTTTTAACAATTTGTTCACCATTGAACTCTGAATATAAACTTTGTTATAGCTTGATTGCTCGAACCGAACAGACCAAACTCGTTTGAGTAAGCCAATTCATCAAATTAGTAATATTTTTGGCTCCATCATGCGAACCACCATCCATTTCTAGCACTCACTAACCAAAAGATTTGGTTTGCTCTTTTTTCCCACCAGGGCAACTTTGGACCAGTATTCAACAGAGTTGGAAAAGCTGACAAGTAGCTTGCTGAGTTCCATGGCTAGGAACCTTGGACTCGAGCCAGGAAAGTTGTTGAGTTTGTTCAAAGAAGGTATGCAAGGTATGAGAATGAACTACTATCCGCCATGTAAGCAAGCAACCAAGGTTATCGGTCTTGCTCCACATTCCGACGCCACTGGATTAACATTGTTGGCTCAAGTGAATGAAGTACAAGGTTTGCAAATCAAGAGAGATGGGAAATGGATTCCCATTGATCCCATTCCAGGTGCCTTCATTGTTAATGTTGGCGACATCATTGAGGTAATAATAGTAGAAATTATTGGTTCAATTTTGAAGTAAAGCCGCTTTGACACATTTTCGAAACCTATTCATCTCAACAATAATCTTGAATATGCGTTGACAACAGATCATGAGCAATGGAGAATACAAGAGCATCGAGCACAGGGCAGTAGTGAATCCAGAAAAAGAGAGGCTTTCAATTGCAACATTCCACAGCCCAAACTTTAGTGCCACGATTGGACCATTGTCGAACCTTCTCACCAAGGACAAGAAGGGACAAGCACCAAATTACAAATCCATATCACACGAGGATTATTTGAAGCTTGGGGCAAAAATTAAACTCGACGGCAAAGGAAAAGGCCTTATTCATCAAATGAAAATACAACCTGAAGCCCTCAATGGTGAAAAATAGTTCCGAAGTTCAAAATAAACTAGTTCAATGCATTTGTACTTCAAACTGTGTAACAATGATGGAAAAGAGGTATGATGATCCAATTTTATCGAGTGAATTTTTAAATATTTACTTCATATATTTGAAATTACATCACTTATAGCAGTTATGAGGATGAGCACACCCATTGCACTTTTTTATGATGAAAATAGGGCGCTAAGAGTGCCCTAACCGTTATTAATCAAACTAAACGGGGAGTTTGAGCCTCAACATGATCAAAGTAAAACCAGTACACCATCGTATTGCTCGAAATATCAAAGATGTGGACTCCTACAGGCTACAGGTAGAGTTTGCTCTACAGAAGCTATGTAATTAATAACATAGTTAGCCTCGCGGTACACATGATCGATCCAGTGCACTTTAAATTAGAACTTTGAAGTTAATTATCAAATAAATCAAAGTACCGACATAAACGTATACATCTAACCAATTGAATATCGTTGTAAACTTCACTCTCATTTATATCTAACCTAAATCACTTCTCTATGAACCTTCGAAATTTGTGTTTGCATTTGGGTAGCCAATGAAGGAGTCATGTGTAGAGTTCTAGCAATTGGTCCCAAGCAATCATATTTTACCTAAACCCTAAAAATCTATGACTTTCTTGTTCCTGGGGCAATAATATTATTAGTATTATTACTAGGGTTTTAGTGGGGAGTAGGTTGGTTTACCATAAATATCCTGCAGCCCACGCAGATCACCATCCTCCATATATTATTAGATTCAACTTCCGCCGTTGATTCAAGTAATTTTTCCTTCTCCACACGTCTCTTCGCCTTCTTCCTTCCGTTCTCATTTCGTTCCGCACTCCACCTCAGTTGAATCATCCCACAATTTAGAATTGCTTTTTTCACTCAATCTGCATTAATTCTTTGTGAATTTCTTTACTTGGGCCATCCTGGCACAGCCATGTTCCATTTTGATGTATTAGCTGTGAAATTTGATTGTGAAATTGATATGTGGGGTCAACTTGCTGACTCTGCTTGATGAAATTCCATCAATGTTAGTGTCACAGTTATAAAAAAAATAACTATTGGTTCAACCACTTATATGGAAGTGATCCAATAGACATTCTTGTGTAAAAATTAGGTGGAATATTCATGTTCATACCTAACATGTACTTTCAAAGTGAAATGTCGCCTTCTTTCTTTTCAACAAGTTATTTATTTCCAATCAAAAGAACAAGTGGTTATTACAAACAAAAAAAAAAAAAAAACAAGTGGTTACAAACCAACCATGTCATTCTTTTACGGGTAATTAATAAAAGGTAACCTAAGTTTGGTTCACCAACAAAATAGCCACATATATTTAAAAGCAAAATGTGACAAAAATGTCATATATGTATCATGATATAACAAAACTGTCATTTTATCTTTCCTTAGCCATAATTTCATCAAAATAACCAATTAGTCTGCTGACACGATGCAAATTTAGTAGCAAGTTATCAACCACCTAACCCACCTATAAAATTATCTCTTATCCAGAGTAAGCAAACTGGCCATTATGAATGGAAATATAGATAGATATACATGAAATAATTGTTTTATTATATCATGATACTTGAATAATCTTTTTGTTATGTTTTAAACGTTTATAACCATTTTGTTATTGTCCCAAATCTATAGGATCATTTTGATCAATTACCTCTCTTACTTAGTCAAGGCGGTTAATTTTATTGATACGTCGCTTTAACAAGAAAAATCCTACACAGGCTACAGCCGGCCCTTATTATTTATTTGTACACATATATGATTGATATTTTATAGATAATATATGAGTTATTCCAGGACGCAACGCAAGGATCAATAAAAATTAAAAAAACATATTCCACCGTCTAGACAGTAGCTTCACTTTGATATAATTAAGGCTAATTAATAATCTCTACCTCTGAAACGAAGATGAGTTCTTAGAAGCTGTGGGAATGGAGTTTGGAGGATCTCTTGCTGTTCCAAACGTTCAACAACTCGCTTCCAGCTCCAATGATGTTGTACCCATAAGGTACATCCCTCCCGAACTCGAGTTCGAACAAGTTTCTAATGACGAGTATTCTGGTCGAATTCCAGTAATTGATATAGGAAAACTCGTCGGTGCGCATGATAATGATGAGGAATCGACTAAACTCCATTCGGCTTGCAAAATTGGGGATTTTTCCAGGTTGGCCACTCAATATCCATAGTTCCATCCTTCTTATGCATATGATTCCCTGAATTTGATTCATTTAACTATATACCATGTTAAAAAAAAAACAGTGATCAACCACGGAGTAGCAGAGGAAGTGGTTCTGAACATGAAGGCTGATGTTCAAGAGTTTGTTGGGATTTTTAGTGGTGTGAATGGAAATAAAAGGGGAAAGTTTCAAGAGAGTCTCTTGAAGTACCATGTTGGTAAGATGTGGGAAGGCACGGCCTCGAATTCGATCGATTTGATGTAATATGTGGTTAATTAGTTAAATTGGTTTGTGTAACCAAATGGACCAAACCAAACCAAGTTGAACCAAACCGAACCAAACCGATGTGGCGGTTGGAATAACCAAACCGGTCCAACTTCCATGAGGCCGAACCAATGCAATGGTTGAAATATTTTAAACGAACCAATGCAATGGTTGGGGTGTAACCACCCATACGAAAAGTTGCCTCCCTTCGTACGCACCCCTTCATTTTCTATAAATAGCACCTAACCCCCCTCTGGTTTTTACATTAGTTTTTCCCGATACCAAAATTTTGCCAAAGTCCAAAACTGTTTTTTCTGCATTCTTTTTCAAAGGAAAAATAGAGGCAAGTGTGGTTCTCGCCGATTTGCTGCGTTCGATGGTTTCCGGGGTTTGAGGTACCGCTACGCCGGAAAAGGTACGTCCTTTCTATCCTGGGAGGAATCATTCCATAACCTTGGGTACTTGAGGGGGATAAGATTCTTTAAGGAGAGATAGTGAATTCTATCGACTAGGACACTTGCATGTGTCTTTGCGTGTTTTTTCTTAATCTTATGTGTTTGCTTGTGTTGCAAGAAAATAGTATACGTGAACAATTTTCCCAACAATCTTAAAGAATCTTATATGATCTGTTGTTCTTTTATGTATACTGCTTGCGTTTGTGAAATGATGTTGTAACTGTTAATCTGCCATATATACAAAGCTTGCGGTAATTGGTAATCCGCCCCAAGATTGAAACAGGGAATTCATTTCCTGTATCTATACGTGCGTGAGTAGCATCACTTGTATGGCAGATTTCCTATTTTGGTTCTAAGGAATAGAGTTCCTGTACATGATGGAGACACTGTTTTGAATGCCACCATGCTATTATTTTTGTTGGTTGTGATCTCAGTACTGTTTTGAGTTTCTAGAAAATTGCATCATTTCGGACTATACGTCTTCTCTTTGGAACAATGTCATCACTCTGATTTTGGTCATTGTTCCATGCATTCGAGGGCATTTAATCAATTTTTGTTTGGTTAATTGAGAGGAACCCTGGGTTCCTGTACATGTTTTGCATGCATTTGGTTGCTTGAAAGTTTGCATGAGACAATAGCTTGGATGGTTGACATGGGGAAACAGTTATTGTCCCGTCCATGAAAGACACGTCTGTGCATTATTTTTCCCTTGGAATTGTTAATTTTTGGTTCTGCTTGGTAATTGGTTACCGGCCGGAAAGAGAGAAAGGAAGCATGGCAAAGTTTGGCATCCCAAACATTGTTCTGTGAATTATCACTTCTACGAGTTGTTGGCCTAGAGGAGAAATGTCATTCGGTCGTCATTGATACCGGATTTGCAATGGGACGGTCCTGGAAGTGTTTTTGACCCAGGTCATGTTGATTTAAATAAATCAATTCAATGGTACTAATGCATTGACCGTAATCATGACGATGTGGCTATATAATGACATTGGTGGAGAGCATCCAACCAATTATTGGACTCTAGATGATATACCCATCTATGATTGGTACTCAATGGGTCATACTGTGGACGATTTGTGCACCCATGTGGACTCGATGGAGAGTATGGGGGAAGAAGAGGAATTTGAGGAATCGGAGAACGAGGAGGAGTACTCCGACATAGCGACCGATGAATGCCTCTTTGATCCTGACTTCGACCCCAAGAATCCTTAGGATTCTTGTATATGTATTGTCATCTCCTTTGAGGAGTAGACATATGTATGTGTATATATACATATGGTATTAATATGTGTGTACCTATGTAAGTCGTGTATTTACATGATGAATAAAGGACAAATGTTCTTATCTCTCAAGTGGGAAATTAGTTGGATAAAACCTTACGAGTTTGTTTGGTTCCAAAATTAACCACAAAGTTTTAATGCTTTTATTGCATTGGTCCATCTCTATTATGTGGCATGGATGAATGATAATTGTACCAATTTAATTTGGACACCTTTTCATTCAAGGTGACGCATGAGATGATGGAAGTACTTATGATAATCCTTCATGGACTCTAAGTAACGGTGGTTTGGATAGTAGTAAACTATCTAGTGGGAGAATATGAACAATCATAGGTGTGTAAAACCTATGGAGCGTGGCAAGTGGGGACTTGTGAGTCAAGTCTATCTAAGCCGGAATGGTTGCAAACGTAATGTTCATAGTATGTTGGACATAGTTTGAAAGAGTATACCTCCAATGCGTTGGAGATGAAATTTGGTTAATGCACGTTTAAGGATTGCATTACGAGAAAGCTACAAGCGATAAGGAATTCTAGTTCCTGTGATAGTTGTGAAGACATGATAATTTATTTATCATGTATGTGGTTTAGGATTTGATGTTTCCTATGCCACGAGGGCAAGGAAAATGAAGCTATGATTGATCCTTATAAGGATTTAATAAGCTTGCCAAATGATGGTTGTCATCAAGATAAGCATTAGGTCAGAATTGTTTATGACCTATGATTATCAACGTGAAGCTCATTGACAGAATTGTTTATGGTATATATAGATATATATCATTGGAAAACAATTTGGCATGAGAGCTCAATTGAGATGATCTTATTGAACATAAAGACTGGATTACTTATGGTATATTTATGAAGTTTATACCATTGGAAAGTAATTAGACAATTGAATTAGAAATTCGTTTGAATTACTTGTGGTATATCATGTTACATAGATGAAATGTCATTGGAAAGTAATTAGATGGGATTTCCATTACTGGAATGCATCTGAATTACTTATGACGTCCCAAGTTGCCTTGATCAATACCATTGGTAAGTAATGGGATGATTTTTCTAATAAAATCCGAATTGTTTGTGGTATGCTAATCGAGTGAGATCATACCATTGGTAAATAATTAGATACATATAGTGGTTGGCAAGTTCAATAAGTAAAACCAGGAAAAATAAATGGGATTATTCCATGATGTTTGGCAAATGGTAGAATTGTGGGATTATTCCATTGTTTCGGCTACTATCTCGAGACCCTACAATGGGACGCAAACCTATCCATAAGACAAAAGTGGAAAGGTAAACGAAGTCATACTTGAAAGTATGAAAGTGTCCAATGAGAAAGTGAGAGTCCTTAAACCTTGTGGAGTTAACCCAGTCCAAGGGTATAACTTATGAGTAAACTCTAGCATATATTGACGTTATGTCAGAGGCTAGAATATTTATTGATGTTGATCCACTCTTCCCAAAGAGATGATTTTGACCATATACATGAATGTATATGAACAACATTCCCCAAACTGGAAACGTTGGTTTCAACAACTATGGCGAAATAGTTGAAATGTGGGGGATAAATTGGAGAGAAGTAATGTGGAATGTCGCTTGGGTGATTCTAAAGTGAAAGTGATACTTAGAAGTTTTGCGTAAACCCTAAGCTAAGTCATAAATGTCACTACATTTAAAGAGATACTTGTGAAGGTCAAGTACTCTAAGGTTAATGAAGTGGAGAGACTTCAATACCGTTGGCATGTGTTATGATTATTGCAAGGCAATAAAATCAAGTCAAGCTCACAAGATGTGTAGTGAATTGAAAAGAGACGAGTCTTTGGTGTATTGTACCCAAAGGGAACTCACCAGATGAACCAAAAGGCAATCTATTAATGGATATGCATTTATGGTTGATGGGGAGCAGTATCTTGGAAAACGTCCAAGTTAAACTATGTACCCACTCTAAGACCGGTGAAGTTCTATAGTATGGCCCGCAAAGACTGGCGTTAATAAAACGCACTTGTGCACAAAAGTGTTATTGCAAGGGCTAGGAGTGTTATGTGATAAATCTCGTCAAAGATAAAGGAAACGTAACACTATGGATTGATTAATTTCTAGCAAAGTTATTTGGATTGATCATCTTAGATCAAGTGATAACAAACGTTAGGCCTACCTAGAAATTAACGATAGCATCGAAGGGAATGGACTCGTGGCCTAGGACAAATCATCATGGCGGTAACTCTACCTAAGCAGGATTGGCAGACCCAACCTCTAGGTTCAAGGAGAAAACAAAGTTGTGAATGATGGTCCGACATTGTCAACTTATTCAAAGTCCATTCTCATGATGAGACAATGTCCAACTATAAGGGTAAACCTAAAGATGGAAGGTTTTTAATGGTTTCTAAGTTTGACACGCGATGTGATCAAATAGTGTATTTTCGGAATACATGTTTAGAAATCACCTATGTGAGTGTGAAGTGGAGCCGCTTCAAGGAGAATAAAAGAAGGCCAGTTTTCTAAGCACTCATGAGACCAGGCGGTGTTCATGGCTGAAACGAACACAACAATGAGAACCAGTGAACGGATAAGAGTTAGGTGTGTGACATATGTTGTCTTAGTATACAAGCAAAACCGACGGTTCAAAGATATCACATCTACCGATTGGTGAGTATACTCGATATATGTTCACTAAGGAAGGTTCAAAGGGAAACCTACCTATTCCGATGCAACTAATTCTTAGTCGAAAATCACACAATTTTTTGCATAGTTTTTAAAGTACAACATTCTCCATTTATGTGGGGGATTGTTGGGATTTTTAGTGGTGTGAATGGAAATAAAAGGGGAAAGTTTCAAGAGAGTCTCTTGAAGTACCATGTTGGTAAGATGTGGGAAGGCACGGCCCCGAATTCGATCGATTTGATGTAATATGTGGTTAATTGGTTAAATTGGTTTGTGTAACCAAATGGACCAAACCAAACCAAGTTGAACCAAATCGAACCGAACCGATGTGGCGGTTGGAATAACCAAACCGGTCCAACTTCCATGAGGCCGAATCAATGCAATGGTTGGGGTGTAACCACCCATACGAAGAGTTGCCTCCCTTCGTACGCACCCCTTCATTTTCTATAAATAGCACCTAACCCCCCTCTGGTTTTTACATTAGTTTTTCCCGATACCAAAATTCTGCCAAAGTCCAAAACTGTTTTTTCTGCATTCTTTTTCAAAGGAAAAATAGAGTCAAGTGTGGTTCTCGCCGATTCGCTGCGTTCGATGGTTTCCGGGGTTTGAAGTACCGCTACGCCGGAAAAGTTACGTCCTTTCTATCCTGGGAGGAATCATTCCATAACCGATTGGTTGAAAGATATGTTGTCTTAGTATACAAGCAAAACCGACGGTTCAAAGATATCACATCTACCGATTGGTGAGTATACTCGATATATGTTCACTAAGGAAGGTTCAAAGGGAAACCTACCTATTCCGATGCAACTAATTCTTAGTCGAGAATCACACGATTTTTGCATAGTTTTTAAAGTACAACATTCTCCATTCATGTGGGGGATTGTTGGGATTTTTAGTGGTGTGAATGGAAATAAAAGGGGATAGTTTCAAGAAAGTCTCTTGAAGTACCTTGTTGGTAAGATGTGGGAAGGCACGGCCTCGAATTCGATCGATTTGATGTAATATGTGGTTAATTGGTTAAATTGGTTTGTTTAACCAAATGGACCAAACCAAACCAAGTTGAACCAAATCGAACCGAACCGATGTGGCGGTTGGAATAACCAAACCGGTCCAACTTCCATGAGGCCGAACCAATGCAATGGTTGAAATATTTTAAACGAACCAATGCAATGGTTGGGGTGTAACCACCCATACGAAGAGTTGCCTCCCTTCGTACGCACCCCTTCATTTTCTATAAATAGCACCTAACCCCCCTCTGGTTTTTATATTAGTTTTTCCCGATACCAAAATTCTGCCAAAGTCCAAAACTGTTTTTTCTGCATTCTTTTTCAAAGGAAAAATAGAGTCAAGTGTGGTTCTCGCCGATTCGCTGCGTTCAATGGTTTCCGGGGTTTGAGGTACCGCTACGCCGGAAAAGGTACGTCCTTTCTATCCTGGGAGGAATCATTCCATAACCTTGGGTACTTGAGGGGAATAAGATTCTTTAAGGAGAGATAGTGAATTCTATCGGCTAGGACGCTTGCATGTGTCTTTGCATGTTTTTCTTAATCTTATGTGTTTGCTTGTGTTGCAACAAAATAGTATACGTGAACAATTTTCCCAACAGAGTTTTTTCGTCAGTCGTTGCAAGAGAAAATGGAATGTGCACAGCTGCCAAACGACCTCGAATGATATGGGCAAGCATTTGTTGTATCTGAAGATCAAAAGCTTGATTGGGGTGACATGCTTTACATTTTAACACGTCCTCTGGAAGGAAGAAATATGAGATTTTGGCCCAGAGTTCCCTCTTCTTTCAGGTTTGTCCCCTATATTAGTAATGACCAAATCAAATGCATATTAAAGTGATTCGTGAGTCAACTTGATTGCCACTTCTAACTAAACAAATGCTCTCACCTTCTTCTCCAGGGCAACTCTGGAAGAGTATTCATCAGCGCTTGAAAAGTTGTCGGTCATCCTGCTAAGTTCCATGGCAAAAAACCTTGGAATCGACCCAGAAAAGTTCCTCTCATTGTTCAAAGATGGTGCTCAAGGTATAAGAATGAACTACTATCCACCGTGCAAGGAAGCAGGCAGGGTTGTTGGTCTCACCCAACATTCCGACGCCGGTGGATTGACATTGTTGACCCAAGTGAACCAAGTTCAAGGATTGCAAATCAAGAGAGATGGGAAATGGGTGCCGATTGCTCCCATTCCAGGTGCCTTCGTCGTCAATGTCGGTGACACCATTGAGGTATTTAGTTAAAACTAGGAACTTAGAGTTGATTGACACTCTAATTTGGGGCGAACAAAAAGAGCCGCAAATCGATCCACCCGTAAAACTCTACCTACCCGTTTTTATCTCTAAAGTTAAGACTTAACGTTTGGATGAGCATTTTTTTTGTGTGCAGTCGGTCTCTTTTGGGTTGGGTGTGGAATTCGGGTTACACAACTCGTAGAACCCGACTTAATCTGTGTTTTAACTATAGACATGATTGTTCATATCCAAAACATACTTGTGTCGTATATAAGCATGTTTGTGAGAAAAATAAGATGCCATATTTTTCTCTCGTAGTCTCCCTAACCTAATACATTCTTTGAATTAAAATTTAGACGTAGATTTAATATAAGTTATGATTCACGTAATCTTCTTTCCTGTGTACAATTTTAAAAGAATACCATATTATGGATGCGTTCATTTATAACCTCTTTAACTTATTGCGACAAATGTTTGTGAAAAAAACTAGACATATGTTGAAGGCAATTATATTTTATTAAAATTATATTTTATTAAAATCCAAACAACAACTATGTATTTTGATATATACTTTTAACCTTGATTTATTCGTATGAATATTTAATTAGTTATATAATATTTTTATACTATAGAATAATTGTTTTTTTAATATATGTTTGGCCCAGCTTTTAGAAGTGCTTTTCGGCTTCAAAAGCTGAAGCAGGGTCAAACACCTCTAAAAGCTCGGCTTTTGAAAAGCCGAAAAGCGCTTTTGTATAACATAAAAGCGGAGCTTCTGCGAAAAGCTGTTTTGAAAATACAAGATTATCATTACCATATTTTAATTTTATTTCAGAAAATATAATTTTCCTTCATTTATATCATTTTAAAAATAAAATAAATTATAAAATCATATTATTTAATATAAAAGAAATCTAACAAGATCCATTTTGAGTACTTTTTATTGTTTAGAATTTTTATTTATATTTTATAATATAAGTCTTTTATAGTCATTTTACACAACCGCTCATATTAAAAAGCACTTCTAATAGTTTTAGAGCTAAACACTAAACTGATTTTTTTTATAAGTACTTATCTAAAAGCTCCAGCCATAAGCTGCTTCTGCAAAAGCTACCGCAGATCCAAACTAATCTACTATTTCTATTAAGAACCGGACAACTTAGAGTTCAACACCACATTTACTTTTGGCACATTATTAATTTCTATTTCTGTCGAAACTGCTTGCCCCTAATAAGTAATAAATCAAGCCCATTAGCCCAATTTCCATCCACGGAGGCCACACTTAATAAATAAAAAAACTCTAGCAATGGCAAAACAAAAGAAAAAACAACCCAGTATTGGCAATGCTTTGATCTAGACCTTCACGGTTTTAGATTGAGGGTGTATTTTAATGTGACTTCTAATAAGGTCTTCTCGTTTATCCTTACATGTTATAGCGAGCAAGTTAACTTCTGAGTTCTTACAAGAACTCTTTCATTTCATCTCAAAATGCAGTTAAGATTGATTTATTACTTATAAATCATGGATCTTTCATGTGCTTTATCGATGTGAAATTCGCCTAAGATGTTACATACACCCTCTTTGGGACTCAACGTCATCATTGAAGTTTGTCGCCCCATCATTCAAGATGGACGCGAAGAGGTTTTAATACCACTTGTAACATCCCGACCTTTTCTGATCAGAATATTGTCCGCTTTAGTTTTAGACCCTCACAGTTTTAACTTTGGGGTGCATATCAAGGTAACTTCCCATAAAGTCATCCATTCTTGCAGTGATACACAAGGAGCACGTTTAACTTCAAAGTTCTTATAAGAACTCTTTCATTTCACCCAAAAAGCGTGTTCTTAATTAAAGTTGATTTCTTACTTATGAATCTCTCACATACTTTGTCGATGTGAAATTCTCCTTTAAGTGTTACACTATTTTTTTTTTTTTTTTTTGACAAAAGATAATCATTAGATTAATAATGAATAGATCAGTACATCCTGGAATTCAGCCAGGTCTGGAAATCAAACGAACGACATGCATTCGGGAACAAGGCCAGGGCTTTTCTAACTACCAAATGAGCTACCCTATTGTTCCGCCGACCTACAAATCGTATAGAGAAATCTACATTCGAAGCAAAGGAACTAACTATCTCCTCCAGAATTGCTCCCATATGATTATCTCGAGTATCCCGCCGGAGAATCTTATCAATTACCACCTGGGCATCACCTTCAAACCTCATGCTAGTGAAACCATTCGTCAAGCACCAACTAATCGCCTCCCGAAGTGCCAGAGCTTCAACTATGCTGGGGTCACCAAGCTCCGGGAAATGAACCCCCGTCGCAAGAATGACCGCTCTCTCAGAATCCAGGATAACCATCCCCCCGGCCGCATGAGACCCCACCCGCACTGCCCCATCCCACATACAAATTGCCGTTCCGGCAGCATAAGGTATCGTGGCCGGGGCCAGGGGGGCAGCAGGCTGCTCAATCCGGGTCCGGGGTAGGCTAAGCCACTCCTGCACTTGTTGATTGAATTGCCGCACCAAGGCAGGGATCCCGAATTGTTTACCCTCAAAGACCACCCAATTCCGGGACCGCCAAATCCGCCACAGAACCGCCACTATCGACATCACCATAGCAGAATTTTGCACCACTGCCAGCAATTTCCTCAGGAAGATCGGGAACGTTTGGCGAGGCAAACCTTCACCCACATCAGCAAGCCCCGAATGCTCCCATAATGCACGAGCCACCGGACAATCCAAGAACATATGCTCAAGAGTTTCCGATGCCGCCCAGCATACCGGACACCGAGGCAAAACGTCCACCTTTTTATCTCGCAGCGCTTCCGTAGTAGGAAGGATTCTATGAAAGATTTGCCAAACGAACACCCTAAGCTTTGGAGGAATGTCCGCCTCCCACAACCTGATCCAGCTTGGCTTATCCATCCAACTAGCCACGGCTCTCCACCGCCCCTTCTGACGATCCAAATTCACCGCAACATAATATGCAGATTTAACTGAGAAAATACCATCAGAAGTCTTCCCCATCCGGAACCACACATGGGTTATAAACAGGATGGTTAGGATGCTGATGGGGAATCCAACTAGACGAAAGCAGAGGTGCCTTCCGCCCATTCCCAACTTGCCATCGCAGCCCAGAATCCAACAACTGACGGCCAAAGAGGATACTTTGCCACCCCCAAGAGGGACGAGATCGGGCCCGAGCCGTCAGAAACGACCCATTGGGGAAATATTTGCCCTTATACACCTGGGAGAGAAGAGACTGGGGCTCCGTAAGAATACGCCAACCAATTTTAGCCAGCAAAGCTTGGTTGAACAACTCAAAACGTCGAAAACCCATACCCCCTTCATGCTTGCTTTTACATAAGTTCTTCCAAGAAATCCACCGAATTTTAGCTTTACCCTCCTCTACCCCCACCAAAAACGGGCTACATGCTTGTCCAGGAGGCGACAAAGAGCCAGAGGTAGCTTAAAACAGGACATGACATGCAGGGGCAAAGCCATCGCCACTGACTTAATCAGTGTCTCCTTTGCCGCCCATGACAATGTCCTCCTCTTCCACCCCTGTAACCTAGCCAGCAGCTTCTCCTCCAGGTAGCGGAAAGTAGCCATTTTGGAACGGGCTATCAGAGAGGGGAGGCCCAAATATTTATCATGGACGCCCACAGCCCCCACCCCCAAAATTGCCGCTAGGAACTCCTGATCCTCCGTCACGATATTCTTACTGAAACACACCGCCGACTTTTCAAGATTAACTCTCTGCCCACTCAACTCCTCGTATTCGTTAAGAACTTCAATCAAATTCTCGCATTCTTCGAGGGACCCTCGAAGAAAAAGGTAAGAATCATCCGCAAAGAATAAATGCGAAATACGAGGAGCACGGGGGGCCACTTTCACACCTTGTAATTTCCCTGCCGAGATAGCCTGGCGAAGGAGGGCCGCAAACCCTTCTGTACAGATGACAAACAGAAGAGGCGAAAGTGGATCACCCTGCCTTAGGCCTCGGGAAGGGGAAAAAAAACCGACTGGAGTCCCATTCATGAGAACTGAAAATGACGTAGATTGGAGGCACTCCTTAATCCATCCTCGCCAGACCGAGTTAAAACCCATTTTTTCCAAAACCCCTAGCAGGAAGGGCCATTCGACTCTATCATAGGCCTTTTCCATATCAACCTTTAGAGCCATATATCCCTTCTTCCCACGGGTTTTGATTTTGAGGTAATGCATTAACTCATGCCCTAAGAGAATGTTATCCACAATTTGCCTCTCCCGAATAAAGGCATTCTGACCATCAGACACAATCTGGGGCAACATAATAGCCAGCCTTCCTGCCATAATTTTAGTAATAATCTTATACACAAATTGGCAGAGGCTGATAGGACGCAACTGTCGCATAGACTCGACTTGATCCACTTTCGGAATCAAAGTCAGCCAGGTATGGTTAAAACTTCGTAGCATCCTGCCATTTTCAAAAAACGGGCTCACCGCTCGAGTCACCGATTCACCTACTATGCCCCAGAAAGCTTTAAAGAACTTTCCTGTAAACCCATCCGACCCTGGCGCTTGCTTCGATCCCATCGAAAACACAGTATCCCTTATCTCTTTAGGGAGTACTTCAGCCGTCAGGGACGCATTCATTTCCGGAGTCACACAAGGATCTATTGGGAGCGCAGCAATTCTGTCATGCATATTCCCAATCTGGTTTTCT